CCCCCACGGCCCCCCCCCCCCCCAGCCACTAGGACCCCCACAGCCTCCTCCGCCCCGTGCGGACGCGGTTTGCTCGCAGGCTTACTGGGGCTCCACTTCCGAATGCCCGAACTGCCCCCACCTGGGCGGTAACTCACCGATCCCCCGGTCAGGTAGGACAACGAGATGCCGAAGAGCCGGCCCCAGGCCGCTCCGATCAGCAGGGAAGGGATGAAGACACCGGCAGACACGGTGAGCCCGTAGGTCCAGCAGGCCAGGAAGAAATACATCACTGTGAACATCCCCAGGGTCATGGGATTGTAAGAACCTAGGGAGAGAGGTCGGGTCGGTTTCACCCCTTCCACACCATGGAGACAGGCTGTTTCCACTACAGGCTGGCAGCTCTCTGGTCAATGGGTTAGCAGCCCGTTACTGCCACAAGAGCTCTGAGGGGGGGGCCGGCAAACGCCCACCAGCCCCTCCCAGATGACCATGGGGCAACCCCAGTAGGTGGCACTTGCCACCACGTTCCGATCCCCCCCATGAGTCATGGCCACAGCAGCGGGATGGACACGCCGAGCCACCGTAGGACTGGGATTACTCCTCTTGGGGCGAGCTCTGCCCTTGGCTGGCTCCGATCACTCAGCCCCTGGCCGGCAGGCAGCCCCACTCTGGGACAGCTGCCCCCAGCAGCCAGCGTGGCTCATACCCCGAGCAGGGGGCGCGTAGCTTCGGCTGTTCCCATGGTCCATAGGAAGGCCAGGCCTGGTCCAAGCCCTGGTGTTCTGCAGGCAGGCACTGCTCTGAACCAAGGGCACCCGCGTGCTCCCTCACCTCATTTGTCAGCCCTTCCCAGGCCCCCTCCCTCAACACCGCTAGTCGGGCCAGTCTCTGCAAGGAAGCCTCCCCCGGCCTCTCAGCCAGGGGCAGTCAACCCGTGGCTCAGCAAGCTGCGTGCAGCTCTTCAAAGGAAAAATTGTGGCTCCCACACCCGCGGCTCTGCTCCTGCACCCGCACCCGCGGCTGTCCTACGTTCCCCTGCTCCGATCTTTTTCCTTGTTTGGTCAGGGCGCCGCTTGGGGCAGCGAGATCAGCCACTGTGGCCAACAGACGCCTGCTTGGGCCACACGTGGCTCTTAAAGGGGCAGCGTTTCTTTGGGGTTTTTTTTTTTTTTTAAAAACAACTTCTTTCCCTCGGCCCTTTGCACTATATCCACCACTATTTTGGCTCTTTGTCTGTAATGGGTTGGCCACCCCTGCTCGAGGCCTTCCGTTGCCGTCCCTGGGCCCACCTGCACCGCTGGCAGGGTTCGTTGGGGGGTGTGGGACTCCGTTTCCGTTCTCATTCCAAGCCAAATTTCTGCCCCCTGCAGCAGAGGCTGGCGCCGAACTGCCAGGGCCAGTCAGGTTCAGACACTTATAGGAGCGGCTCCGATTCCTCTCCCCCCCACGTGTCTGGCGTTTCACCTGCCCGCCCGCAGCTCCTTCCCCTCGCTGGGTCGGGCCCTTCTATGCGTCTTCCCATCATCCCTTCTGAGCACTCCTCCACCGCTCACCCCCTTCCCAGGTGGTTAATTTCATATTAAAGGGCAAGGCTAGGCCAGGACCTTGCCCTGCGCCCCCTCCATTAGCCTCTGGCCACAATTCAACTCGACAGGGTCACCTGCTATTTCTCAGCGTTTCTAACCCCGGGCAGCGCTCAGACGCCCCCCAGGGCCGACCTTCCCTTAACAGCCTCTCATGAGGGACTTGTGAAAGCCCAGCCACAGAGAGGCCCAAAGGGTTCAGGTCCTTGGGGAGGCCCCGTTTTCCGTGGAGGACGCGGAGGCACCTAGAGCCGGCGTGCCGTGCCATGGGGGTTTAGAGCGACACCCCTTCCTGCTCTGTGAACGCCCCGGGCGCCCGCTGCTGCTTGTACGTCGTCACATACAAAGGAAGCCCTGACAGCCGTACTGCAGCTGAACACCACTGTGTAGAGAGGCCCTGGTGTGGAGTCCTGATGCGCCCCCCAGCCCAGCCCTGCCTGGCTCCGTGTCATCAGGCAACAGCTATTTAAACAACGTCTCGTAGGCGAGCACCCCCACCCGCCGTCCCCGCACGTTTCCATGGCAGGCGGCCACCCC